CCCCAAAACCCCAAAACCCCAAAACCCCACGCCAATAGCTATGCATCATTAAAGTGAAAAACATATAAAGAACAAAATTGATAATGTTTCATCGCTTCTTGAAAAGCTGGACAAGTTTCTGCTTCTCGAAAGAAAGTTTTTGGGCATCATCCTCCTTTAGCATTGCTAGATTGAGAGCGATTCTCACTAGATCACATTGAATAGTGTCATTGGTCTCATCCTCATCATCATCTTAAATTATAAGAGCTCTGTTTGGCACATCTACAGGAACATATTAGAAAGAGGCTTGATAGTCTGGATTGGCCAAAATATCATAGCAATGAACTCCTCGAATTGTTCTTTCTACTGTTTTTGCTTTTTTGAGCTTTTCAATTGTATCCTCTAACAGTATTTTCATGCCCTATAAATATATATTAATTCTCATTTAACTTACATAATTCTTTCTAAGATTCTCTTCTTCTTATATCATCCAGTTTTTGTCTGGCTTTTCTAAAGCTTCAAAGTAGTTGCCCAGATTCTCATCAATCTTCAAGTTAGCATCAAATGCACCTGGCTTGATAAGTGAAACGATAGCAGTAAATATTTTGCCGAATGGTATCAAGATGATTAAAATTGCAAACATTACAAGACATGGGAAGCTTTGATCTAGAGAAACATTGGTAAAATCTTATATAACATTATGTCCACAGAGAGTTATGTCATTGACTTTATTCTTTATGAATAAAATGTTATCAAATATTTGGTTGTTACTTAAGAACCAATATGAAAACATCATATATACTATAGGTGCCCACATTAGCATTCTTAATGAATTATTCGTTAGCTTATCATCAAGAGCAGGTGGTTGTTTATAGTAATAGCAAACTAAAAGTCTTTCGAGAGTATATAGAACAAAGAATCCCCAGAGTGCTATCGGATAGAGTATTGGTAAAGCAGTACCATAAACAAAACAAACGAAAGTAACATTTAGAATAGTACTGAATCTAAGATGGATCAAATACTCAGGGCCAGAATAGATATCAACATAGAGTTATATGCTTTGCTTTTTGGATCTGTAAAAATCTCTAGTGAAACCTCTGTCTAGCATTCTTAGTCCCTATCTGAATGCCCACATTGTTCCAAATTCAATAACAGGCATTATTGAAGCAATTGCCATAGTTTTAACAATGATTGAACCAATTTCTTTATACCATTCTTCGACAAAATCAGTAAACTGACCTCTAGAAATACCTTCAAGTATAGGAATTCTAGTTTCTGAAAAATTTGCAGTTGAGAGCAAAAGTAATATAGCTGTGTTAAAGAATTGAGTTACGAAAACCCCCACTTTGATTGATCTAATTTAGGCAGATTTAGTATCTTCTCCAATTTTAGTAATTAAAAATATGAGAACAATCTTTAGAATAGTATTGACAATGTTGATGGTAGCAGATATGACAGAGTTAATTGCCTTTACTAGATATAAGTCTACAAACCATTCATAGCAAACATAAGTAGTTTTATTCTCATTGTCTGTAAATTCTTGAGCTCCAACTTTAAAACTGTGCTTAGATTTCATTTACTAGCAGAAGCAATCCAATACTGGCTATATTTGAGTTCTAGTAATGATTCCTTCAGGTGGCTCATAGAAATCATACCATGCTTAAATTGCATAATTTTATAGCATTTAATCGCTATAATTATCTTTCAAATCCTAGCAATTTGTAGTTTGGTATTTGGATTTAGCAATAAGAATTATCTCTTTTAAGGCTAAGACAATTGCAAATGAGATGCATAGCAATATTCCAATTATTAAAGTGACAGCCACAGCCTTGATGCCTCTTTAGAATCCAGTAAAATGTCTATTTTCCCAAATTATATTTGTTGGTTCGGTGGCTTCCTTCAAAGTTGGTCTTTCACCTAATATTGTGGATCTAGATCCTCTTTCTCTCAAACTTAAAAATCTTTGATATCCCTCTTCATTCTCAAATGTTACAAAGGCACTTACAGCTACCATTAAGTTTTAGTATTCTCTAGTTTTAACAGCATCAAGTTGCTAATTTACCTTCTTGAGGCTTTCCCAATCATTAGATTTTATATATATGCCTCTCTGATTTAAGAGATGAATAATTGGAGCATTCTTGTAAGAAAATTGAATGTCGGCAACTCTGATTGAATCTACCTTTTCAAATCCTAACGATCCTACTTCATTCGTTAACTTAGTTTCAATCTCTTGCTTTAAGTATTTCTTGAGAGCATATCCTTAAGGATCAAAAGCGTATTTCTAGTGATGCTGATTGACGAAAGTTTGATACATACTTTGAGATATTTTTAAATCTACAGTATAATCTCCAGCCGTTATAGTTTCAACGTCCCACTCAACTTTTTGAATTTAAGTTTACTGTCTCAAATAAAACATCATGATGATGAAGAATAAGCAGGAAAATACAGCGATAGCTGAAATAACGGCTCCTTCTTATCTCTTCACTGATAATTATTCATCAGTTTACTGACAGAAATATTAAACAAAGAAAGAAGAATCTTCTGAAACGCATTTCGTAAGAGTTTAATTTCCTCCAGATAGATAAGATTTCAGCTTATCAAGTTAACATTATTATTTGCCCATGCAAGCCGATTTCAAATCAAGATTTAATTAGTCATAGTTAATGCTTGATGAACAAATTCCAGTTTTATTTCTAAGACAAAGATCTTTGTCTTCAAATTTAGTGTTAATTCCTAAGTCAACTATTCTATTTACCACTCCAATTTTGCATGATAACACAATTTTATTTGTTGCCATTCCAGTGGATGAGCATTTAGTTTTTGAAAAACCCATACTTCCAAGAGATATTCTAAGAGGCAGTTTTTCTCCTGTCTCTTCTTTGAAATTGCCATGTGAACTGTACATACTCATGACAGGCAAATGCAGAATTGATAGAACAAAAAAGATGAACATAAATGTCCTGAGTATTTGAAAGTATGATGAAATACCGAATCCCAGATAATTTACAGGATCCTCATCTTCATCAAATTGAGGTTTTGGATTCGGTTAGAGTTAACCGTTTGAATCATAGGCACCCTCTAGATCCCCTTGATTGCCTTATCCAATCATGTTAGCGAATTAGTTTTTCACAGCAACGACAGGCTTTCTTTTGGTAGATTACCTTTCTGCTGATCTATAATTATTACCCTTTTCTTCCTCTTTCATTTAGTCATCTTTCACTAGGTTCTTTTTTTCTTGATCTTCCTTGTTTCTTTTAAAGAATCTTCTAATCGAATCAAGATAAGGGAGCGATTATCTCAAAGGTATATCTGACAAGGGATGAAGAGTATTCACAACATATCTTCCTCTACTAATCTATCAATATTGGTTAGAGATGATAACATTTAGATATATTTTACCTCTTATTTAGAGAGCCGCTAATTCATATTTGACATATTCTATACTATCTTTAATTGATGAATTCAAATTAAAAAATTCTATTCATCAGTAAGTAATCCATCAAATGTTGCATCGAGGGGTTTTGGGGTTTTGGGGAGATCGGAAGAGCGTCGTGTAG